GCAGCGGCAGTTGTAGTTGCGCTTTGTTACTGCCACCTTTATTACCGTTACCATTTCCAACAATTTGGTCCGCATCATTTCCCACCAATGGAGCCTCGTTAGCAACACCACCTTTAGGCGCTTCGGCCACCCCCAACCCCTTTTCACCTTTGGATCCAGCAGCTAAATTACCGGCTAAATCTAGGTTATCCTTTTCAGTATCTGCTTTTGAACCAACACCTTTGACCATGTTGTTCAAGTTATGGTCACCAGCATCTAGCTTGACCTTATTGGACGAGGATGACGATGATGATGATGAGGAGTGTCGATCTGCTGGTACCACTTCGTACTCCAAGTCTGGTTTGTCTTTTAAATCTTGCGAAACACCCCACATCAAAATTGCAATTATTAGAAACATTACAATGTACCCTACGAGTTTTCTTCTTGGGTTGTTGAAGAATACTATTGGTTCTTTGAGATTGTTGTAGGGTGAGTGTTTCTTTTTTGAGGATGGTTTCATGTAATATGGTCGTGGTAAACCATTGTTATGGTGACTTCCTTGCATGTGAGATACAATGATTACTTTGGTGACTGAGATACAACGATTGCGTGTTGATGGTAGTGGTAGAGCTTCCTTAATGAGTGTCTATTCTATGGAGTCTGGCTAGTTACTTCCATGTACTTGGCAGTCTTTGTCTGTAGTAGTTTGTAGGCTATGCTTTGACTGAATGATTAGCAAAAGAATTTTCTCTCTTTTTTTTTGGCGATTTTGAACAACAACAACAACAATAGCCAACACTTTTTGTTTAGACAAAGATCTTGTACAATCACTCTCTGCAACACTAAAGTTTAACTTTAAAGAGAATAGAAAGAAATGTCTTGAAACAAGTACAGTAGTACATAAGCTATTTATGCTAGCAACGTAATAGTATCATTAAGAAGGTGTAAGTTTATGCATTACTTGTAATAGGGATATAAACCAAGTGTATAAACACCACCCACTTTGTTCACGGTGGAAGAATAAATTTTTTTTGCAACACCAAGCCACTCTTTAAGCAAAATTACCCCAAGGAAACGGGACAACATTAACAGTACACATACCCATCAATGCCATTAGCTATTACAAATATCCTGTTTTTGATTCTTGTCTTGATTCAGAATGTTTGTTCAATACCCCCAGCTTGTTTCTTGAGCTGTGCTGCCGAAGTTTCACGGACTTGTGAGCGGGGTTTATCTCAAATGACCTGTGTTTGCCTCAAAGAAGACCAGATAGTTGGTTGTTTGATCGATATATGCCCATTTGGCAACTTCAATAGTGCAAGAGATCACTTTCTTGGCACTTGTTTGGAACATGGTAAGCCAACGGTGACGAATCCTTACCCTCCACCAGCTGCATGGCCACCATCCGATTATGAAAAGAATTTACCCAAAATGCATGAGTCTGTTTATCGTCCAGAACCAACTCGGGGTCACCTAGATGGTACTATAGCCAATCCTGGGCTAGATCCAGCTGAAGGGATTGTGGATAATCACAACCCGACTGTGTCACCACCAACTCAACCAAGTTCAAGTATACAACAGACACCAAATGAAATACCAGTACACCACAGACCAGATAGGAATCCACTACAACAAAATCTGCCGTGGAGAGCCCCTCAAGCACCTGAACAACAACACCCCCGCACAGAGGGTGAGTACGATGCACCAACGAGGTCAACAGCACAACCAAAACCAGACTTTGTTGACCCATGGTTCGATGGCTATGATGAAGATTTCACCGGTTCTTATGATCCTGAAAGACCGATTGAGTGGGAAGAAATGGACGTATTAGACCCATTTGGTCGATTTGCTGTTGTTCGACGTCCAATAAATGTCCCCAAATCACTGCGAGATCCATCCAATGTTGGCAAAAGAAGGCGCGTTGTGGTGAAGCCACCAGTTGGCCAAGTTCAACACAAACAAAGTCTAGTACAAGAAAGTAGAAAACTTGTTGAAAAATCGATCATCAATGGAGGCTTGTTCCATGAAAGCTCTCTTCAAGGCCATTTGACTGCATCTGTTTCTCACAAGATTTCTCCACTGGTATCATTACACTCAACTGTCTCAACACATCAGAGTGATCGCAGTACACCTAGCGTCACCAAAATCGCACGTAAGCGGGGCAGCAAAACTAACCGCAAAACTTCCCCATTTTGAAGACATCCTAGCTTTCTTTGAATATGTTGTTGTATGTCTTTGAATCAACCTTTATATTGACTATGGTTTCCCTTGGAACACTAACCAAACCAATCTCTCTTACATGCAACTTTGTTTTGTCAAATTTATCAGTTGAAGTTTCGTAGACGTTTGATAGTAACAAATTTCCAAATGGGTCAATTACGGTCAAAATGCCCTCGAGGATCCTTGAATCAGTAACAGTGACGTGAAAATTTGCCCCTATGTATTTCTCACAAGATACAATCCTATTTCGTACATCAGTCATGGCTTAATTTCTAGTGTAGTGAACTAGTTTAATAGAATGCTCGCGGTCTTATTTATTTCCTCATTAAAAATTTTTTTTTCAACTTTTTACTCCCACTTCTTCTTCTTCTTCTTCTTCTCTAACATCAATCGCGGATTCACCCTTTGTATTAATAAAGAGTTGGCTATTCTATTTTATCGATGATTGTCGACTCTTGAAGGCTCACAAGTGAATATAAAGCGTAGATAAACCTTAAGTGGAGCACGTTTCTGGGCGCCTGATGTTGACTATTTTGTCATGGGACATTGGGAATCAGTTGTGACTACATTACTTAGACCGTAAAGAGGCAGAGAGAGAGAGAGAGAGAGAGAGAGAGAGAGAGAGAGAGAGAGAGAGAGAGAGAAAGAATGTGTGTGTGTTTGTGTGTTTGTGTTCCTGCTTGTATATATATCTGTTTGAATCTCTACTGATAAGATGTTACTCCTTCAAGTTGGAGAGTGCATTGAGACTTTAGGGATTGGAATGAGTAGCAATGGATTTTCATTCCTTATTGTTTTTTTTTTTTTGGTGAGAATTCATCCCCACTTTGCCTACTTGAGCTTCGTCAAATGGATCCAAGCCAACAGCATCATGAACTAAGTTCGATATATCAAGAGTACAAGTCATTCTTCCCGAAATGCGAATTACTACTTCGGAGTGAATCAAACCATATCGCAATAACGACGGCTGAGGGTCAACGGGTCAAAGTAACCGTTGATTTACGCGGTTGGTCTCAATTATCATCGATTACAACTCGTCATTACGAAACTTTTGAAGCAATGATGCAAGACTTGAGTCCTTCCTTTAGAAATAAATTTAGTTTTGAACTTACACATAGATTAAATAAGCTATTACAATAAAAAAAAAGAGCAGATCTAACTCTCTTCTCCTTTTCTGACTATATGTACATATACAACTTGCTTCTTCACCATTTCAACGTTTCTTCTTTTCTCCATTTTGACGCCTTACAAAAGCTTCAACATCGTCCACATCCCTTCTCGATTCCCTGATATAATAATGGGCAGCTCTAGGCATATAAGTCTTTGGCTTATAAAGCACTTCAATATTTCTAATGTTTGGATTATAAACGGGGATTCGAACTTCTGATCCGACACGATTCAACTTTGTTCTGAGCAAGATATTGGAGCCCAAGTTGCGTTGACCTCTCTTGATGGCAATTATTCTTCCAGTGACGTCGGAGCGGTCCAAATAGGTCACTTTGATAATATCGCCTGCTCGTAATCCAGTTTCGTAGTTGAGCAAGTCACGTCTCTTGCCTGTGGGGTCGTGTTTTGCAAGTAGTTGTTTGTGGATGTATGTCATTACGTTCTCGCCTTGTCTCTTTGGTGGGAGTGGTTCGTAAACGGTAGGTAATGCTAGACGAGGGGGTGGGTTGATGGTTAGTATTGGACTCTGTTGAGGGTTTGTGTGTAGTTGCACGTACGTTTTCTTAAGTAGTGGAATGCCCTAGATGGTGCAATGCGGCAGGTGCTTATACCTAGCGATCGAGATATTGATCCAAACATCGTCTCTGCGTGTGGGTGGGTGAGTGAGTGAGTGAGTGGGTAAGTGATGCAGTCTGTCGATGTTGAGCTATCTCTATGATGAATTTTTTTTCTTTTTTTTTTTTTTTTTCAGATTTTTCATCTTCAGACTCGCTGCATAGAATAGAGAGGAAAGCTTCAACTAACTGGGAGCAAACCACCCACTACTCTTGAACACAGTTTGTTTTTCCCATTACATTAACACAACTACTTACTCTCTTAAAAACGTGGTTTTCTCTTACGACCAGTGAACTTGGAATCTTCAGCGACCATACGACCTCTTTTCCTCATTGTCTCCTTCTTTCTATTGATATACTCTTTCCTCGTCTCCATCAACTTCCTCTTCTTCCTATTTAACTTCAGACTATTTTCCAGTGGTGCTTCCATTTCTGCTCCTGTCAAATTGATATTTCGTTCAGCCAATCCTGCAGTTAAAACCAAGTAATACTTCTTGTGACGTTTCAGTTCTGGATCATCTATAATCAACCCACCACCAAAACCAGCTAGTTTTGCTGCGCTCATTATACTTTCCGTTTGTGAATCGTTCATGGGATAAAACTGGGCTACAAACTTACCTCCTCGTTTCAATGATGCATACAATGTGTTGAAGAAAAACAATAGCCTCTTTTTGGGGTCAACGTTGGACGAGTCGGCATTACATAGCCATTGGATTGCCGATATGGAGATGGCTGCATCAAAAGTACCAGCCCGGAACGGCACTCCATTACCTAAATCAGCTAAAAACAAGTCCCCTTCAACATCTCGATCGAGAGCTGTTGCCAACATGCTGGGCGATATATCCATGCCTACCCAGTCATAGCCTTCTTCAGTTAATATTTCTCCTGATAAACCTGACCCACAGCCTAGATCAAGTATGAGTTGTGGCGCTTCTTTTTCCAAATTGAGAAGTTCCAATGCACGTAGCGTCATCTTGGCTTGTATGTGCTGCACACGTGTAGATGATGTGTACTTGAATGATTCTGAATCATTATAGAATATTTCTGGTGGAGCAAGCTCCTCTGGTCTTGACATTGCTTTTGTGTGTGTGTGTGTGTGTGTGTGTGTGTGTGTGTGTGTGTGTGGTGTTGTGTATAGTGGAGGTGCTTGAGAAGAGATGTGCAATTTGACCCATCTAATTTTTTATTTTTTATTTTTTTCTTGTTCTTGCGCTCCCTCACTATGGGATACAAATTGCAAGAGAATCATACTGCAAGCTATGGTGTGGGTTACTTTCAAAAAAAAAAAAAAAAGTCAATGTATTTACTTTTCTATGTATAAAGGTATATATATGTAACGAGAGAAATGAATGTGAGAAACTTGTACATGTCTAGAAATGGAACTCAGATTCCACATCCAGTTTTTCATGATGTGGATATGGTGCTTTACTCTTGTTATCTCGGTGACTAGTGGAAGAGGTGTATTTATGATTTCCAGTAAAGTCAAATCCTTCAGAATCATCATCATCGTCATCCTCAAGTGAGTTTCGTTTTGTACTTCCGAAATTAAAGTCATCCAAGTCACCATCATCAACACTTGATTCTTCCTTACCCTCTCCATATGCATTTGCCTCTTCATCACTTTCAATTTCCGATGGATACAACGACTGTTCTGCAGTAACAATCTGTCTCACTTCTTTAGGTAATCTATCAGGTCTGTAGAATCTCAAATCTACTCTTCCAACCAAGTACAATAGATTAACAAGGATTTCCAAACCACCCCAGAATACATACATCATTGCCGCTGATCCAACTGCTGAACGATCATACACGCTTCTTGCTTGGAAGCACACCACTGATCTCAACACCGAGGACAAAAAGATGATCAATGTCGTCACAGCAAGAATCATCATCGATACGTTATGAGTCAAATCACCACGCTCATTGTTCAAACCCTTGACGGTTTTATAATGATGGTGTGTAGCAGCAATAACCCTAATAGCATAACGATGATTGTGATTTCGTTTCAAAAAACTTGCAGCTGCTTCTTGTGGCTCGCCCTTTCTGACAAAATAAAATGGGTTGAATGACTTGATCCACCATGGTTGATAAGTGTACAAGTTTTCATCTTTTCGAGTTGGCTTGAAGAAATAAGCCAATCCAATCAACGACATCGAGGTCAATGAATAGAGGATAATCAATATGGAAGATGCTTGAATAACCTTAACGTATCGATGGTAATTTGGTGTTCCCAACATAAAAACTTGAAGTCCGGCAGCAGCAAAAATAGTCATGGCAATAACACCAGCAACAATGGCGTATAAACCGTACATGAAACCCCAAAACAATTTTCGTGATCCACCAACGGGGTGTCTCCAAGTGAAGATCCGCTGTGCCAAAATCAAGTTGAAACTGGTTAACAAAACATTAGGCAAGATCAAAAACACCTCAGAGGCAATACCAACTGCCGTCAAGGTGATATCCTTGGTCCATGCGGCTCGAACAGCAAACCCAATAGTACGACAAACAGCATAGAAAATGAACCCAAGACTGGGCCAAAAATAATGTCCTCTTGAACAATTGATTGCAAATACTGCCGTGTGTAGAAAGACAACTATGGCGTATAATACAGTGAACACAATCGATGGAGCAAGATCATTTGGGGTGGCGTAATTACCAAACAAGTTGTACTGACTCGATGCCGAGAAATCCACCAACACTGGTGGGATCGTTTGACCTAATAGATTTCTTGCTTGAGCCGATAAAATTTTCGATCCTGTGGCGGGATTGGGCAAGTTGTTTTGGGCATTAAGTAGTTGCATGATCCCATAAATGGGCGTGTAGACATGGATATCGATAAAATGCAAGTCCTGCATTGTTGGATAAAGAGCTTCAAGGACGGTGCAAAGTAATAAACGAGTGTGGTTTCCTTTCTCGTGGGAGTAGCGGCTGTAACGGATATGAGTATGAAATGTGGTGTGTGCTCTGTGGTATCAGGTAGGTGACAGGGTATACCAACACCGAAGATATAAACTGAAGTAAAGTAGTAGTAAATGTGTGGATCTCGTAGCTTTCAAAATTTGAGGAATGTATTAAAGTCTTTAGTATTTAAAGGAGCCATTACAAATGGTGATTTAGTAACAAAGACGTCAGAAGACAGGTACCCATCTTCTGTGAAGTTATGCACGAAATGTTTTTTAGTAGATGGATGACATATACATTGCTAAAGTCCGCTGTAAAGAGCATTCCGAGGGTACAAAAAACAAAAACATTTTCAATTAACCAAATTAAGAAATTTTAATGCGCCGTACATAAACCTAAAACTATTACTACTACAACTGCAACAACAATAGCAATGTCCACCTCTCTCTTATGGTAAAAAATATAAAAATAAATAAAAGCTGCCAGCAACAAACGAAGAGCGGATTTAATGCACATCTTTGCATTTCCATCAACACTGACCCGAACATAAAAACTGAAAGAGAGGCACACCAAAAGTCTCCAATTACCGAAATAGTTGCAAAATGCCAGTACTTGGCAATCCTCTTTGACGAAAGATCTCGGCAAAGATAAGGGAAGTTGTAATTAAAATTTTTCAATGAGATTCAGGATCGAGAGCTGAGGAGACACAGCCGCCGATGTAAGATACGATGCTGACTGACACTGAAAAGGCTAGAGATCGGGCGAGTTCCGATTTAAGCTTAACCGAAAACAGGGAGATCTCTGAACATAGTCTCGTCTCCGTTCAGTGATGTCTTTGATGGAAAATGGCTTTTCTTTCATTACAAAGGGTTTACTCGTTAATATAATTTTGACTATGCCTAATTAGGAAAGTGGTCAAAAATTACACAAAATCAAAACCTATTGTCACTGTCGATAAAAGAACAGGGTTTAAACCAACGTCTCAATTAGCGCCGAACGCTCGATGTTGAGAGCATTAAAGAGATGAAGTGAAAAACAATGCGCAGATAGTATCACTTATACAAGATGGGTGAAAGGGAAAAGCTTATCCGAAAAAAGGGACAGATAAAATAGTATTGGGGCCTCCTTTTGACGGCTAATATTGATCAGGGAACTCTTCACATCCTCTATCCTCAGTTGCCTTTAAATACACCCCCTGTAGTTCAGGATGTATGCCATGTTTTGGTATCACGGCCGCATCAGCGAAGTTGCTAACTGTGAGCATGTGATGCATGTGCTACTGATCCTTAATTCCACAACGTCGCATTCGTCACTTTTTAGTGGGTTTATGAGTCGTCATAGCCTAAAGGTAAGAGCTACAAAGTCCAGGGGAACACAATCAGCCATACTATTATCAAAAAGCCCTTTGAAATTTGTTGTCAAGATTTTCATCTGCCCCACCACGTTGCCCCACCACAGCAGCTGCAGTATTTTGTCGCCCGTTTAGTACTTTTTGTATCAAACTTTGTATACATCGGATCTATAATAATGAGAGATTTGTTCTTCTTCTTTGCTTTTTTTACTGATTAATTTCCCAAGTTATCAAACGTTTTGTTAGTCATTTTTGAGTAGCAAAGAGATGAGGATTTTTTGCTTTCATGCATCGAAGCGGATAAATCTCTGTAATTCTCCTTCAAATGCAAGGGCAAAGGCACACACAGACATATGTCTGTGTGTGTACCCCTTTCTCTTTCTGCTATTATGTAGTTGAAATGTTCTGAGTACATTGTAGGGACATCGACTATTCTGTTTTGGTCCAAAGCACTTTTATTTCCTAAATAGGGAATGTAATATGAATGTGTGAGCTACCAGCAAGAATTTGTGGCGCGCTTACAAAAATGTCATACAATAGAATTTTTCTTTTAGAACTCGGATTTAATGCACATTGAGTTAACCATTCTTCTTGACTTGAGAGAGTTTAGAGAAAGATCTGTACAGAGCGGTGCGGATATAATCCAGCCTTACTCTATTTTTTTCCGGTTTACACGAAATAAACCAATCTTATCTTGAGTTTACACCGAGGAATCTTAAAGTGAAAGTATATTGCTAGAGCTGCAGCAACAGCAAGACGTTAGATTACTTTACTTTGACGTGTAAAGAGCTTATTGCCCTACGATGTTCTGACATGACCTAAAAAGAAAACTTTATTCACTTCGCCTAATCAAAAACTGGCTGGGATAGGTGCTCACTTCTCTAGCAGTAAACTCAACACCTTCTGTGATGTTCCATGTAGCGCACCTGCACATGAGCCACTAACGGCCACTTCAACTAGAATTATTATCAATGACGCTATTAGGTGAGTTGCCGTGGAAAAATAAGCCAACAAGTACAACTTTCAAAAGCTTCAACAATATAGCACTTTGTTGAATTTCTACTCCTGAACTTGACATCTCCAAACAGCTAGAGCACTACTAGCAACGATTTCCACAAACTCTCAGCGATATCTTGCCCATTAGAGACAATAATTGTCTCAGCATCGAGGCTATTCGCAATTCATCTTTTTTTTTTTTGATCACATTTTCATAACTTTTATCCTTAGGAGCTCAGCAAGTTTTGCAATAGGAGCCACAGCTGCCATTAACACCAAAGAACATCATCTTTTGAGGTTTTGAATCACGTACAAAAGTATAACGAGCAAACGAGTAGGTTTCCAACGCGCCAAATTTTTCTTGTGAAGGTCAATATGTCCGAATCTATATGTGTAACACCGGTTTTTTTAAATCTCTGCACTTGCCATTGACAGTGCCATTCTTCAAGTTTGATAGATCTTTCGTTCTTTGCTACCACGCACCAATGAGTTCACCTGAATAAAGCTGTCCGCATGATTGATTTACTTTAAACGCGTCCTCACACAAATTATTTTCCTCTTTTTTTTTCTTTTTTTTTTTTTTTTCAACTTTATGGCTTTGTTTCTACCCCTACATCAATCTATCCATAACAGATAACCTAATGCCCACAGCTAAGATAAACTGCTCAGCAGTGCAACAACTACTATCTCAGGAAAAATGTAAGCCTAATAGCTCGTCTTCGTCAGTACCTAACCTCATCACCACACCCTATGGACTCGCGCTACTCGAAATCCAAGGAGAATTGAACCTACCTCATACCAAACCTGATATCTCATTGGATCAGTTGCTGCCACTAGATCAGGAAAAGATGAAGAATTTTGTCACTGTGGATGATGTATATGACGCGGTGAAGTTTGGGCATCTTCAATTTGATAGCAAAGATGAACTGAGGGTTACGCTATTCATTGGCAAGAGTCAACGATTGATTGGTAATGTTGTTAAGTTGGATATTCCATTGGGTGTATTGAAAGTCCCATTAAGGCAGGAGATACGAAACGAGGATGATGATGACGTCGATATGGATGCAGAGCAAGAGATTCAAATGATTGATATAGTGCGTGCAAAGATGATTTTCAAACAGCGTCCTTTACCTATAATGTAGGTGTTGATAATAAAAAGTGTATTACTTTGTATACGTCTATCTGCTAAGTAAAGTACAATATGTAAAAAAAAAAAAGTCCAGGGTCCAATGGGGTTTCCTCTTTAGAGCTAGAATTTTGAACGATGGTCCCATTGAGCATTTGCAAAGATGTCAAATCCATAATTGTCAGAATCAACAACGACGATATTCTCGTAAATACGTCTAATCTCCTCGTGACTGAAACCCAACTTCTCATTCATATAGCGAACAATGTTTCCATAAGTTTCTTGAAAAGAAGCAATGGTAGCCAACATTGCTTCGTATCGAGAGCTAACCAAATTTTTGAAGCCGTCCTCTTCAAGACTCCAATTACTTCTACCACGAGAAATCAATTTCTCAATGTCAGCAGCTGACGAGCTGCCGTCGGTGTTGCCACTGATTTTCTCTTTTAATTTTGTCACGGTCTCGATAAAACTATTTTTGAGAACCGGGTGATCGGGTCTTAACCCAATTGTAGTCAATTCATACTCCTTACCAATTGTATCCTTGTCAACACCGGCCAACAACAAAAACAACATGCCCAATACACCAGTACGGTCTTTTCCAGCAGTGCAGTGAAACAAGAATGGTTGGTTTTCACGTAAAATGAATTCGAAAATGGTTTTGAATGACCCGATTCCAAACTCCAACATATCTTCATAGACATGGACATATGTTGACCAAGAAGTCATTAAATTGGTGTATCTTATGGCAATTGCTTGCGGAGAATAATCGTCGTTGGAGTATACCGGTGCATGAATTCTCCTGACCCCGTACTTTTCCAACCCCTCAGGGTACCCATCCTTTGCCACTTCTCCATCAGAGCGTAAATCAAATACTGCTTTAATACCAAGTTTCTTGAGTTGTTGAAGACCATTCTCCGTCATACCAGCAACATTGGCACACCTAAATGCCAAGTTTGGTTTCACATAATAGGTTGCATTTGATGTTGCCTTGTGCAACTTGAAAGTCGGATTGAGAACTCGCCAGCCTCCAATATCTCTAAAATTGCTCACCCCTTCAACATGCTTCCAACGCGGAACTTTACCCACCACTTTGGTAGCTTGCAAAAACCTATCCAACTCTTCTTCTGGAGAAAGGTATTCAACAATGTAATCAACAGCAAGGTAATTGAAGTTAACTCTATCACCTTTTAATGGCAAATTATAGGGATTCACGTCATCAAAATGGTCATCGGGTTGAATTTTGTGGTGGCCATAGAAATTGTGATCAGCATCAGGTATCAACTTCAACACGTGTGATTTGGGTCCTCGATTCAAAACATTGGCAAAATTTGCTGAGTCATACCTTGGAATGATTTGATCTTCAAGCCCATAAATACTCAAAACACTGAAATCGCGTGACAACTCACTCAAGCTGGAAAAATCGGGTTTTGATAACGTGATAATCTCTCTCGCGGATAAATCAATGGGGACGTATTTACCGTATCTGAAATTAAGTACTCCTGGCATGTAATCAAGACCTCCAAAATCGCTGTATCTTTCCAACACAGTGGCCGACGTATATCTGGCAGCACAATTGACCAAATTAGGCACAACGATGGCGCTGGGGTCATTTTTCTTCAACAATTCATCTTGTTTCAAAGCCCAGAGGAACATGGCAACACCACCTCTCGAATGCGAGATTATTGAACTCAATGTTAGATCAATACCTACCCCATTCAACTTCCCATCTCGAAGAAATTCAGCAGCAGCTTGGATATCTTCACAATCTTGCGTCAAAGTTCTTCCTTCCAATTTGTCTTCATTGTCAGCTGAGTCACCACATCCTCTAAAATCAATTCTCAAGCTGAAAATGCCCAAGTCATTTGCTAATCGATGGGCTAAATGCTTTTGGTAACAGTAGTTTCTGTGTCCACCTTGTCCATGAAGAATGAGCGCGGCTTTATGTGTAGCTGGAGCCAAGTCTTGTTCGAATGGGTTATCTGAATCCAAAGCATGGGGAATGGCAAGTGTACCAGAGACACCTTTGCCAAACTTGACCTCTACTTCACGTGGTGGAGGTGGAGAGTACTTCTTATCGACAGGTTTGCGTGTTTCTGTTGTCATGAGTTGATGAGTTTAGTAAATGGGGGAGGATTTCGCTTTGCGTGGCGTCTGCAAAAAATGGAAAAGGAACAGCAGTAGTTGGAATAAAGTTTGAGAAAAGATTCTGTTGGTTTGTGGGTTGAAAATTTATCGATTAATTCCGCTTGTGAATTTTTTAGCAGTTTTATTTTTCATGGGAAGCGGAGACTAGACTAAAACAGACAGAGAGGGACCCACAACAGCCACACAATAATGACAAAGAGGTACCGTTAACGGACGAATGAGAGGAAATGTAATAGCCAGGGGTGTATTTTATACATGGTACATTAGTACAAGGCGAACTTAGTTGTAAAGAGAAGGGAAAGGCTGTTGACTCTCACTATGTGCGTGTGTGTGTGTGTGTGTGGGGGGAGGACCTCGTGCCCCAACACAGTCCCAAAGATTAGCCGCCAAATTTTTTTTTTTTTTTTTTTTTCTGGATCGAAATCCCCTCTACTAATCTTCCACCACTAGTAACACTCATATACTACAGTTTAGCAACTGTATGAGTACAATTTGGCCAAGGCATGCTTATAAACCACTCTGGCTTGAACTCTGACCTGTAGATAAAATCATGCAATTGTAGCCACTTAGTGCTCAGGGAATGTGGAGTATATTTAACTCCGGTGAGTAACCGCCGGAGCTAAAAAAAAAAAAAGAGAAAAAAAAAAAAAAAGATGAAATCATCCGAACTTCTATCAATGTAATGTGCTTTCTTGTCTCTATTTCGCAAGATGGATCCACTTTCAGATAGAGATGCATACCAAGAACTAGGAAAACGCTTGAACCAACAACACTCTGAGCAACTTGCCACTCAGTTACAAGTTTTCCGATCGGCATTGGTAAACTTTGTCAATGATCATGGAAATGAAATCAAGAGCAATGCTGAGTTTCGTTCTAAATTCAATCAGATTTCACAGCTGATAGGCATGGATCCGTTGGATCTACTCATATACGCCAATTCCAAGAATATTACCAGCAAAGGTGGCAACAATAAACGTGACACAAACAACTTTACCACTGGACTAGCGGTTAAAATTGTTGAAATATGCCAAGAGACTCGGGACTTGAATGGAGGATTGATACCAATACGAGAGCTACAATCAATCTTGACTGATAACACATCAGATTTGAAAATTGAAGTTTCTGCAAAATCCATAGAACAAGCTATAACCATACTAAATTCAATGGGTAAGAATTATGAATTGCTTGTCATAAACAATGAATCGTGGCTAAAGTTTTCGTCAATTGAAAATTTATCAAGTGACCAACTAAAGATTTACGAGTTGTGCAGCTTCACCGGTGGGTATGCAACCATGGGACTCATTAGAGATAATTATGGCTGGGATAAAATAAGAACCCATAGTGTCATTGATGAAATGATCATGAACGGGATATTATGGGTTGATGAACAGGGTGAAGATGAATGGCAGTACTGGGAGCCCTCTTGGATATCTCATTAAAGAGTGAACAAAGGCGTTTATTACTACTCCTACATGTCTATTCTATTCGTTGGTGGATCTTTTAAATTCCTTTTTTGCCATCCACCGGGCATTGATGATCTCATAACTGTCAGTTCGTTCTCGGTTGGCTAATGGAGTATATTTGGCAAAAGCGCGACCTACCCCATCACCAAGAGGCACCGTGTTTGTTGGTGCTGCAGTTGCTTGAGGCTGGTCTTTGAATACAAGATCTTCCATAACACTCAGCATTTTGGTTTTGATACTCAAATCATAGCACATACCCTTGAAACCATTCATGATCCGATTAAACTTGTGCGCATTGTCGAATTGTTTCCATTCCATAGGTGGAAATTCACAATCATACAACACAAGTGGTATATCATTTGCCATCTCATATTGTGGTTTGGTGGGGTATTTGGTGATATCCATCAAGTCGGTCACAATCTCGGGTTTTTCTAAGCGCTGCGCCACTAGGAACAATACGGCAACCATGCATCGTACTTGATGCCAAAGAAATGCAGTGCCAATCAAATCAAAGCAGTACAAGTCATTCTCCAAGTGAATGATTTTCGAGCTGTATATAAAACGCTCGAAATTGGTTATTTGTTTTGATCCGTCCAATTTACAAAAGTTGCGGAAATCGTGCTGCCCTTGGTATAGTTCAGCTGCTTTGTTCATGGCGTCAATATCCAAATTAGATGATTTAAACAAGTACCGATAATGACGATTCTTGCAGCTGAATCTGGCATCAAAATCTGGTGGAGGATGTAGGCATATAGAGTGTACCTTGATGTCAGCTGGTAAATTGGCGTTTATAATTGTCAAATAATCAATTTCTTTGTCATCATTCGATGAATCTTGTTGTTCTTCTGGTGTCATATTTGATCGAAGTTTGATGGAAATCACTTGATTCATTGCGCTTACTCCCTTATCGGTTCTTCCACACCTCGAGAAATCAACTTGGTCTATAGGTTCGGGAATGAGTTTGATCTTGGATAAAGTTTTCAAAATCGTTTCTTCCACTGTGGGTAATGGAGTTGGTTCAAATTGGTACGCGAGTCCATTATAATTCCAGCCTAGATAAGCAAATCGTAACGCAACAAAACGTAAATTGTGCTTACTCCAATCAAATTGCTTTTGCTTCTTCAGTTTATGCTTTGTCTCTGGTGTGGACACAGATGTAGTTGATGTTGTTGGGCTTGTCTTGTGTTCCAATTCGGATATCTTTGCAATCAAATCTTCCTTTGACCATGATGAGTAGTCGACAGGTGGCGGAGCTGGCAAGGCCACTGTAGCAGGAGTAGAGGCAGCAGTATTAGTATTCTTGGACATTCTATAAGACCTTTTCATGAACCATCGTATATGAATACTTCTAAACATAAAAACAAAAGGTACTTTCAGGGTAATGTTTTCAGAGCGCTATTTTCTTTTTATTTGTTTTTTTCTTTTTCAGTCAATACTCATCTCATCACAACTCTTTTCTCCCCCTTCCCCCCTCCCCCCCACCTTCTAAAACGACTATGAAATCTCAAGCTGGATCCCTTGCGTGGGATAACTTGAGATGCGAACTATACCCATGGCTCAAGGATGCTCTACTATCGTTGGGATACCCAACAATGACACCCGTCCAAGCATCCACCATACCCTTACTTTGTGGAAATAAAGATGTCATAGTTGAAGCCGTGACGGGATCAGGCAAGACACTAGCGTTTGCTATACCGGTGTTGGAAAAGGTGTCCAAGAGATTATACACCCCCGATGAAGATGGCAAAGTGGAGTCCTTAAAGCGCAATCATATCTTGAGCATTGTCATCTCTCCAACTAGAGAATTAGCCAAACAAACCCAAATGGTGTTTGATCATGTGTTGGAGTACTTGCCCGAGGAGTTGAGCCCACGGATAAAGACCCAGCTATTGGTTGGGTCACTTGGTAACGTGCGCGAAGATCTTGAGAAATATCAGGACAATCAACCACAGATTCTCATTGCGACACCAGGTCGATTATTGGATTTTTTGACCACTTCACCCATTGTCAAGACGTCAAGTTTGGAAATTGTCATCTTGGATGAGGCGGATAAGTTGTTGGATTTTTCATTTGAAATGGATGTGGTCAATATTTTGAAGAAATTGCCCAAACAACGACGAACGGGATTATTTTCAGCAACGATTTCATCAGCTGGTGATACTATATTCAAAACAGGAATGAACAATCCAGTCAAGGTGCAAGTCAAAACAAAGAATTTTCTTGGCGAACAGCAAAATGCACCAACATCATTGCAATTATCGTACATGTTACTACAACCAGAGCGCAAGATCACTACATTATTGACAATTCTACGAGACTACGATTTCAAAAAAGTTATTGTATATTTTCCTACATGCACGTCAGTCAAACATTTCTACCAGATTTTCACTAAATTGGTGGATGAAAATTTCCATTTACAGTTTTTCTCATTGCATGGACAGTTGAATACTAAGGCCAGATTGAATACATTGGAGAAATTCATCGATGGTAATGACCCCAATTTCAAATACGTTTTGATGACTACAGATGTTGCTGCTCGAGGAATAGATGTCCCTGAAGTTGATTTAGTGGTACAGTTAGACCCACCCACCGACCCCAGTGTGTTCTTACATCGATGTGGGCGTACAGGAAGAGCTAACAGAGCAGGAAGAGCAATTGTCATGTTGAATGATGGTACTCAGGAAGAAGATTACATTGGTTTTATGGAGGTCAAGAATGTATTTATGACCCAAATGGATCCTCTTAAGACGACAGATCACAACTCGTTTCAAAAACAGCTTCGCAAGTATATGCTTGCTGATCGAGCACGCCATGAATTAGCCGTCAAGTCATACGTTGGATTCATTCGGTATTATTCCAAGCATATTGCCAGTCTGATTTTTCGTTTAGCTACACTTGACTATTTGGCGGTTGCCAAAATGTATGGACTATTGAGATTGCCCAAGATGCCAGAGACGAAATATATCGACAACTCACTTATGCCCCAAGATGGTTGGCTTGGTGAACCTATTGATATGGACACTTATGCATATGCAGACAAGTTACAGGAGAAATCGAGGGTGGATAATTTGCAACGCGATAAGGAGTTGAAGATTGCCAATGCCAAGAAGCGTAAAGAGTTGAAAATTAAAAATGAAGCATGGTCAAGCAAGACTGATCACAAAGAGACCAAGCAGGAGAGAAAGGCGAAAATGAAGCGGAAACGTGAAGCGATTGAGAAGCAGTTGATGGAGAATGATGATGAAGAAGTGCAACAAACGCAACAAGATTGGAAAGATTTGATTAGGCAATCAAAAAAGGCAAAGAATCAAACTATGCAAGGCTCATTTGATGATTTATAGAGAGGATTAGAGATTAGAAACAACAAAGTCTCTGCATCATACTCATATTCGCATTTTTTCTTCTTCTTCTTCTTCTTCTTTCTATTTACTGAATTTTGAATCGTTCACTACTAGATTTTATCCCATCGAATATGAACAAATTGTCCAAGGGAATGTATTGCGCAGTTGTCAATTTCAAAATTTCTTGGCTGGCAACTCCTCCCATGATACTACTCAAGTTAGGATAATTGGTTGAATTGTGCAACAAAATTTCCTTAAAGATTTCCAAAGTAGACGACTGCACTTGATGAGGTGGTGGTGGTGTATTTATAGATGTAGCTGAGTTTGAATGCAATATAGTGGATCGATATACGGAAAGGAACTCGTCAAGGTCGTCAATCGTTGGTGATACTTTGTGTTGCTCAATATATGCATTGTAGGTTAGAATTCCCACGTAGATGGAAATCATATTCGATTCTGCAGTGGGGGTAGTGTTTGACTCTAGTAATTCACTTGATGGACCAAGGAGTGTCAAAAGAGATTCATTGAGCAAATGCTTCGACCCAGAAGTAACGAATAACAACAGAGCGTTTTTGCAAAATGTTGCTATCGACTCGGAAGTCACAGTCTCTTGGTCTCTACCGATTCGATTTAGTATGTTGTGGACTTGATCTGTGAAAAGGTATTGGTCCTTTAAAGCTTTTTCACGATAAAGACGTGATAAATTAGTATAGTTTTTGGTATCCGATGCCATATCAGGTAGTTTACCTGGCAAGGGAAGAATATTGCTGTTCAACTGCAAAAACTCTTTTAATGCAGCGATGTAGATCCAAAATAGTGGTGTTTTTCCATCAAAAGTTTTCGAGTCAATTGAGTCAACCAAAGTTTGTATACTGGAGGGTACTTCAGTTTTTTGAAAAGCTCGATGGCACGATTGCAAAGCTTCAATGAAGTTTGTTTCTATATTGATGTTTCTTGACATTGACTCAACAAGAGCCTTGAATGATTTCTTTTCATGATAACTTGATGGCAGGTTTCCCTCATGCTCAAGTTTCCAAAATTGCAACGCCTTGATGAAGATGACAATATAAGGGACGTGAGCATGTTCTTGATCATCCAATTCATCCAAATTGAAAGAATCGGCAAATTGCTGCAACTCTGACCATGGTTGGTCAATTCTCAAGTCAAACAACTTTGACGGGTCGTGAGTTTCTATTACCGTTGTTTCATTAGCTATTAGGTTTAATGATCCGTAAAATCCCACAGTGTTAACGACAAGTAACGGAATGTGTTTATCCCAAAGTATGTCAATCAATTCATGCAACCTGGGAGTATAGTTGCTAACAATAACACAATGGAACTGATCCCAAAAGCTGTTTTCTTTATCGTTTGCCAAGACTTGTTCAAGTGACTTTTCAATGGCGAAACCTTGGACATCGGTATTCAATTCATTCAAGTTTGTCTTGACACAGTGGGCCAATTTCTTACCGAGATCTTTCAACTTGAGAAAGAAATTCGATGATAAATCTTCCTGTGTTACTTCTTTGTCATCAATAATGGTGTATTTACCTATCCCTGGTAAGATCAAATTCTTCAACACTTCACATCCGGTGGCACTAACATTGATTAGTGCAATATGGCTCCTTTCCAAGTTCAGTTGTCCTGAAGTGGCCCATAAACGCAATTGCCTATCATATTGTGTTTCTTTGTCAACCGTCATTTGTGTAGACATATCCTGTTGTGTTGAGGTAACAGAGGGATTAAGTGTTTGTAATTCTCGAGGGAAGTTTATTTTGTGAGTTTACGCGTTTGTTTCACCCCTATCACACGACTCAACTTTTTGCTGAATCAAGAAGAAGCGTCGAGTTTGGCAAATGTGAACGACTGGGACTATCTGATGCAGTTTGCACCCGTGTGGTGGTTGGGGTTCGAATGGAGTGTTTTTTTTTTTTAAGAAAAAATTAGACGACGGGAAGAAAAAAAGAATACTGGCGCTAAAACGGCAATAACAGTTTTTTTTTTAGTAAATATCAAGTCAAGAAGACTCAAGATAAGTCCAGACAGTTCATTTTTATAAGTAGAAATGCAACATAACCCTTTTTTTGTTTCTTTTTTTTTTTTTTTTTGGAGTGGGAAAAACATTTAGAAGACTTAGAAGAAATTAGTGTAAGCGTACAGCGTATGGCACTTGTGAAGAGAAATAGACTTTCAAACTATGCTGTAAACTGGGGTCTATCAATTATCTGAAACTGTAAAACTTTACATCAAAATAACGAATTATTCCTGAGGACTCCATGTAATATGGTATCAAAATTGTGTCGTATTTGGATTCAAGGTAGTGACTCCAGTGAGCTGCAAAAGCCAAGCTAGCAAAGCCACTACTACATAGGAAGTCTTGTTGGCTATCGTTAGTCTCTTTATACATCATACTTCTTTCAAAATGCACGTCTTGCTAATTTGGGGGGGAACAATAGGCGTCAATGCTTTGAGTGGGGTTACAAAATCCTCCAACTAAAAAACATTCTGAAGAGCTGCACGTGACTACATTTCAGCAAGGCGTGTACCAATGCCGAGAGCAGACTGTACTGCATATAGCCATTGCACAGAAAAATGATTCTCAGCACGTGCGCAAGGAAGAAAAGAAGAAGTGATATGGAAAACGTGTTCAATCTGCCTATAGCACATACAACGGAGCCAGTACTTTTCCTTCAGGATTGTAATAGACAAATCGTTAATCAAACTAGCTGCCGGTAGCTCCGTTTGGTTTAACGTAGACCGTAACTTGCTATCATTACAGTAGAGTAAAATCACAAAAACAATCCTTCTGCTTCTCTTGCCTCCATAACCATTACTATAGACTTTGACTACTATGGTTTGCAACAAAACGTATGAAACTGCTTTGTGCCAAACCACTTAAGATGCTTGTAATTCTACAATTGATCAAATTAATAATAGATAGTAAAGAATTTTTTAATTATTAAATTTCCATAATTTTTTTTTTTCTTTTTTTTTTTTTTTTTTTGTTTTGTAAACGATGACTTTAAGTTTAGCTTAAACGCCTAATCCAATCCATCTCTTTCTCCTCTATAAAGAAAAAAAAAAAAATTTTCACTTTCATTTAAAATCCCTTTCTTTTCCTTTCCTTTTTTTTTTCTTGATTTTTTGATTTTTTTCCCAGTATACCCTAACCAGAGGATCATCATCAAATCATGTCTGCTTCTAAGGAATCAAAATACTCCACAGAAGTACTTTCTGAGTTGTTGAAAAACTTGCAAGTTGCCGACGACAAGGATGCGGCTGCTAACAACATTGCCACTTTTTTGAACTCTTCAATTGTTGAACACGATGTTCCAGCTGAATTTTTCAGTGATTTGAAGAAGGAAATCAAATCAAAGGATGCTAAGGTTGCCGTTGCTGCTTTGGATGCTTACAAGCACATTGCATCCCCAAACAACTTGACTCCATCTGTTGAGCCATATGTTGTTGAATTGGTTGGTGAAGTTGCTACCAGAGCTGGTGACAAGAGCAAGGATGTCCAAACTGCTGCTTCTGCTGCATTGTTGGCCATTGCTGGTGCCATCACCCCAACTGCAGTCAAAGCCATTTTGCCAAAATTGGTTGACAACTTGCAAGCCACCAACAAGTGGACTGAAAAAGTTGCCATCTTGGCTGCTGTTTCTCAATTGGTTGACACTGCCAAAGCTCAAGTTGCATTGAGAATGCCTGAATTGATTCCAGTCTTGTCCGAAACTATGTGGGATACCAAGAAGGATGTCAAGGAAGCTGCCACTGCTACCATGACCAAATGTACCGAAACCATTGACAATAAGGATATCGAAAAGTTTATTCCTAAATTGATTGAATGTATTGCCAAGCCAACAGAAGTTCCAGAAACCGTTCACTTGTTGGGTGCCACTACTTTTGTTTCCGAAGTTACCACTGCTACTTTGTCCATCATGGCTCCATTGTTGTCCAGAGGTTTGGCTGAAAGAGACACTGCCATCAAGCGTAAAGCAGCTGTTATTGTTGATAACATGTGTAAGTTGGTTGACGATCCACAAGTTGTTGCTCCATTCTTGGACAAATTGTTGCCAGCTTTGAAGTCCAACTTTGCTAACATGGCTGATCCAGAAGCCAGAGATGTTACCAACAGAGCCCTCAACACTTTGAGAAGAGTTGGTGCCGTTGGTGAAGGTGACAAGTTGCCAGAAATCTCCACTGCTGGTGACGTTGAAGTCACTTTGGGTGAATTTGACAAGTTGGTTGCTGACAAGAAGATTGCCAACAGATTTGACGTTGCCAAAAACTATATTGCTGCTATTGCCGGTGATTTGGTAGATGAAAGAGAAATCCAACCAGAAGCTTGGTTGCAAAACGTTTTGCCATTTGCTACTATCTTTTTGCACGAAAAGGAAGCCAAGGAAATCATTGAGGAATACAGAAAGAGAGCTATTGACAACATCCCACAACCACCATCATTCGAAGATGAAGAAGACGAAGGTGAAGACTTGTGTAACTGTGAGTTCTCATTGGCTTATGGTGCTAAGATCTTGTTGAACAAGACCCAATTCAGATTAAAGAGAAACAGAAGATATGGTTTGTGTGGTCCAAACGGTGCTGGTAAATCCACCTTGATGAGAGCTATTGCCAACGGTCAAGTTGAAGGTTTCCCAAGTCAAGATGAATGTAAGACTGTTTACGTTGAACACGATATTGATGGTACCCACGCCGAAACCACTGTTTCCCAATTCGTTATCGAAGACGGTGAAGTTGGTTTGACTGAACAAGTTGTTGAAGACAAGTTGAGAGAATTCGGTTTCTCTGATGAAATGATCAAGATGCCAATCCAATCATTGTCTGGTGGTTGGAAGATGAAGTTGGCTTTGGCTAGAGCCGTCTTGAAGAATGCCGATATCTTGTTGTTGGATGAACCAACTAACCATTTGGATACCGTTAACGTTGCTTGGTTGGTTAACTACTTGCAAACATGTGGTATCACCTCTATTATTGTTTCCCACGATTCTGGATTCTTGGACAAGATCTGTCAATACATTATCCACTACGAAGGTTTCAAATTGAGAAAATACAAGGGTAACTTGTCAGAATTCGTTAAGAAGTGTCCATCAGCTCAATCATACTATGAATTGGGAGCTTCTGATTTGGAATTCAAATTCCCAGAACCAGGTTTCTTGGAAGGTGTCAAGACCAAACAAAAGGCTATTGTCAAGGTTTCCAACATGACTTTCCAATACCCAGGTACTTCCAAGCCACAAATTAGAGACATCAACTTCCAATGTTCATTGTCATCGAGAATTGCCGTCATTGGTCCAAATGGTGCTGGTAAATCAACTTTGATCAATGTCTTGACTGGTGAATTGTTGCCAACCGAGGGTGAAGTTTACGTACACGAAAACTGTCGTATCGCATACATTAAGCAACACGCTTTTGCTCATATTGATAACCACTTGGACAAGACTCCATCTGAATATATCCAATGGAGATTCCAAACTGGTGAAGATAGAGAAACCATGGACAGAGCTTCAAGACAAATCAACGAAGAAGATGAACAAAACATGAACAAGATTTTCAAGATTGAAGGTACTCCAAGAAGAGTTGTTGGTATCCACTCAAGAAGAAAGTTTAAGAACTCTTATGAGTATGAAGTTTCATGGTCATTGGGTGAAAACGTTGGTATGAAGAATGAAAGATGGGTTCCAATGATGTCTGTTGACAACACTTGGTTGCCAAGAGGTGAATTGATGGAAACCCACGCCAAGTTGGTTGCTGAAGTTGATATGAAGGAAGCTTTGGCTTCTGGTCAATTCAGACCATTGACCAGAAAGGAAATCGAAGAGCACTGTGCCATGTTGGGATTGGATGCTGAATTGGTTACCCACTCTAGAATCAGAGGTTTGTCTGGTGGTCAAAAGGTTAAGTTGGTCTTGGCTGCTTGTACTTGGCAAAGACCCCACTTGATTGTTTTGGATGAACCAACCAACTATTTGGATAGAGACTCTTTGGGAGCTTTGTCCAAGGCTTTGAAGGCTTTCGAAGGTGGTATTGTTATCATCACCCACTCTGCTGAATTCACCAAGGATTTGACTGAAGAAGTCTGGGCCGTTTTGGATGGTAGAATGACCCCATCTGGTCACAACTGGGTCCAAGGTCAAGGTTCAGGTCCAAGAATTGAGAAGAAGGAAGATGAAGAAGATAAATTCGATGCTATGGGTAACAAGATTGCTGCAGCTAAGAAGAAGACTAAGTTGAGTTCTGCCGAATTGCGTAAGAAGAAGAAGGAAAGAATGAAGAAGAAGAAGGAATTGGGTGATGCTTATGTCTCTGAAGATGATGAAGATTTCTAAATGAGATGACAGCTTGCATTGCGTAGTCGAGAGTGAAGAGGACTTAGTATATAGTGGCTAGATATATTTAATTTTGTTTCTGGAACAGTTTAGTAAAAGAAAGAATTTGATAGATTAAAGGATGGGAGATATGTAGTGATAGGGAGTGGGGCAAGGAGTGAGTGTGTGAGTGTGTGTGGGTGTGTGTGGGTACATTGGAGTGTAGAATGCAGAATGTTGATCTGTATGAGATCGTCTTTTAACAAAGAAAATTTCGTAGACAAGTTTGGTGGTTGCAAGAAAGAAGTGCATGTGGCCACCACCGACTACTCTCAGTGTGCCACACGGAATAGCAAAAGCCAACGACGTTATAGCTTCCTCGAAGTGGACAGTTCTGTTGACATGTTTCTCGGAAGGGAAAGAGACGAAACTTTTTTGGTGGCTATTTGTGGCTATTTGTGGCTACAAAAGAATTTGAACTTGACTATGTGAAGCAAGCTATCACCAAATGCAAACATGAATGCTAGAAGGATCATATTCCACTTACTCTCATGTGCTTACGCTTACTTGGTGTTTTCAAATCGGTATTCTCTAAACTCAACTTTTGATACGTCCACGAAGCAAAACGCTATTGCCTCAACCCAAATCTGGAATTTATCGTATGCTCCTTATGATGTCGAGTGCCCTGGTCACGACCTAGTTCGCAAAGCTAATGACGTAAGTTGCAAAGATAGAAAACATGAATCACTTTGAAGTTGCCTCAAGTCTGATACTAACTTTTTCAGACGATATGTGCAAAAGAGGAGGAATATATACGAAAACGCAACATCAAAACTGAAGCACAATTGAAATCGCTACTTTACAAGAATGAAATACCTAATTTTGATATTGAAGCATTCTGGAACTCAAAGTCATCATCCACTATAATCGCGATTGCAATTTCAGGCGGTGGATACCGATCAATGTTATCAGGAGGTGGAATATTGACGGCGTTGGATGCTCGAGAAGTCAACAATTTGACTCACGTTAGTGGGATTTTACAAGCGTCGTCATATATTGCGGGGATAAGCGGTGGTGCATGGTTGGTAATGTCACAATTTGTCAATGATTGGCCGCGAATTAGTAAAGTAGCACGCAGTGGTGTGGCAACTGGATGGAATTTGAAGCAGAGTTTACTAGAGGGTATGCCTGATGTGAATGGTAATATACGGAAACAAAACAAGGACGCGAAACCGAGTAAGCGCAAGACGAAGCAGGGGTTGGGGTTGTTGAAGTTATTTGGGAGATCTAGAAAGGGTATGCCGTTGGCGAATTGGGCAACGTTGTGGTTTGACAAGAAGAACTCAACTGGAACACAGTTGACGCCATCATTGAAGGAAAAGGGCGCATTGGAATATTTGAAGTTTTATAAGGAGTTGTTGGTTGAAGTTAGAGATAAGAGAAGAGCAGGATTCGTGGTTGGGTTGACTGACTATTGGGGTCGAGCATTGGCCCACAAATTATTTACTGCTACTGCGAGAACACCGGGAGTGACAATGACTGCGGTTGTTGAAAACTCTGCCGTGTTTAAGGAGAATGATGAGCCCTTCCCCATCATCGGTGCTATAGCTAAAGATCCAATGGATAACGCTATTTCCAGTAATGACCCATTGCAGAAGATCTCGAGTTTGCATAGTTCCATCTTTGAAATCACCCCTTTTGAATTTGGGTCCTGGGATAGTTCGGTTGATGCTTTTGTTGAAATTGAGTATTTGGGACTGTATTTCGAAAATGGTAGTTCATGTGCAGCTGCAAATGCAACAGCAACCACCACGAATGCAACGTGTTTATGTAAATCTGGGTTTGATAATGTTGGATTCTTGACTGGCACTTCATCTTCATTGTTTAATCATATTTTCAAGTATATATTCAACTACTTTACCGAAAATCAGCTGGACATGATGACTTCAATCGAGAGCATATTGAAGTTTTTTGGAATCAGCAAAACGGCGAATGAGTATGACGATCCAATGGGCATTCAAATACAATCGCATCCTGACCATGCCGTTTATTCACCCAATCCGTTTTGGAAATTCGGTAAAACGGGTCGTTTTTCCAAAAGCAGAGAGTTGTATCTTGTTGATGGTGGTGATGATGGACAAAACTTGCCTTTCCAGGCATTGATTAGGAAAGGTCGCAAAGTCGATTTGATTTTGGCGTATGATATGAGTGGGGAGGATTTGAATTATCCCAATGGGTCGGTATTACAGCAAACCAGCTTGCGGTTTAAACATGTTGATGGGGTGAGGGTGACTTCGCCATCGCAGTTGGTTCCCTTTTGCAAAGTTCCCAATGAAGCGACCTTGAGCGGAGAGAAGGAGGTGCCGTTTCGGCCAATCATCAAATCCATTTTTCCTAAAGCTCCCACTACTGATGAATTGATTGAACAAGGGTTGAACTTGAGACCCATTTTCCTTGGCTGTGATATAATTGAGGATTTTGAAACCATTGAGTTAAATGATATGAAGAAGAGCAATGGTAGTGGAGGTAGTGGTGGTGCAGTTATATATGAAGATTATTTACCGCCAATTATCATGTACCAGGCAAATTCAAACTACACACATCATCAACTGAACTTTTCCACTTTCAAACTACGTTACAATGAGAGTGAAATTGAAGCAATTATGGAGAATGGTTTCCAGATGGCGTCGTTTTATAACTCATCATTGTATGCTGTCTGTTTGAATTGTTTGATATTGAAACGAGAGTTTGACAGAATACGATTTGGGTTGCTGACGAGTGGTGGAGCTTCTAGTGGTGACGACTTTGGAGATGTGGCGACTGTACCCAAATTTTGTCAAACTTGTTACAAGATATATTGCTGGAGAGGATGATGAATATCGACTAGTGTAAAAGTGAGGCAGCTTATCTAAATAACTAAATAACAGCTCTTTTATTGTCGACGTTTACATATGTACGAATGTAATTCTGGTGGCTTTACTAAAAAAGGGTCTCTAATTCATGACACAAATACATAGAATTGGTGTGACAATATACTTTGTTAAATACGCGAAGTGGAAAATGAAAGGAGAAGAATTTTCTTTTGTCGCATTTTATTGTTGAAGGTTTCTCTCTACCAGTCAGTATCAAAGAGTATCAGCATATCAAATTAACAACAGAGAAGAGTTTACTAGTTGATATTGGACTCGATATCATTAATAATTGGATCTTTCACTAAACTCAGAGATACATTAAGTTACAGAAGAAACACTGGAGGCGTCTTCACAAATACAATCCACACCCTCCCCTACCCCCACACTATACATTACTCATCTACGTCAACATCTACACACGTACACGTTTTTCCACTTACAACAACAAGAGTAACTGTTACTACAAAACACTTCTAATACAATCTCACACAATACCCCCACTTCTATGGCTGGCGTTAGACATTTACGAGTTATTGGCTTGACGGCACTTGTTGTCATTTTGATTGTTGTACTACACCAAACTGGCCGTAATGCAGCATCATTGGTATTCGCGCAAGCTTCGGACGAAATTGCCAATAAGCATCGGGCCAAGTCTAACAATGGTGCAGTACAAGCAGCAGCAGGGTCAGGAAAAGGAGGCGAAGGTGGTGCAGGCGGTAAAAGTGGTGGCAATGGAGGGGTGAATCCTGTTGTTGTTTCTAACAACATTGTTGATCTGAATAATGACGAAAAGACTGACGATGCTATCAATCAGGAGATTTCTAAGGATAAGAGTGAAGAAGGGGTCAAGAAGAAGCCAAGTGGTGAGGAGGGACAGAATAGAAATAAGGAAAATGGAGCAGTAGCAGGCGGAGGAGTGGCGAAAAGTGGAAAAAATGTCAATGGAAATGGAAATGGTGTATCGGGTTCTGGGTCAGGTGCTGGGTCAGGCGCTGGGTCCGGATCGGCCGATGTAACCACCAACGAAAAGGGAGAGTATGACCCACAAGCTGAACTAATAAAAATCCGAGCTCTTTCACCAATGACGATTTTCTCCAAGAGTTATTGCCCCTACTCCAAGAAATTAAAGAGTTTATTATTGGACAAGTATGAAATCACCCCCACGCCCAATGTAGTTGAGTTGGATTTACACGAGCATGGCGACGAGTTGCAGACTTATCTTTATGAGAAGCTGGGTAGACGTACTGTTCCTAATGTGCTTGTGGGCTCGTCGTTTGAGAGTAGGGGCGGGTCTGATGACTTTGCCGAGTATCATCAAAAGAACCAGGTTATAAAGTTGTTGACTGATTGGGGCCAGGGGAGGTTACAGGTTAGTAAGAAGGATACTCCGTCTAATGCGTAACGTTGGGTACATAGATTAATTATATATATAAATATGTGTAAGTGATGACACATTTAGTTTTATACAATTGATACACGAGTTATTGACGGGTATAAAGAAGCGGCGTACAGAGTTAACACTCTCTAAATCAGTAGATATCTCTCCTACGCAACAGTAGTTAGTTTGATACAATGAAAACCTCCTTTTTCAAAACTAATGTAACATTAAAAGAATATACACATTTATCAACTACTCCACAATAATAGTCTCCACCTCATTTGGTTCCGCGCTCTCTCTTTAAAACTTAGTAAAAGACTTTGATTTGGAAACTGAAGCAGTAACTTTCAAAACATTGAATCTAACAGTTTTGGAAATTGGTCTACATTGACCAACAGTGACAACATCACCTTCAGAGACTCTGAAAGCTGGTGAAACGTGAGCAGCAACATTCTTGTGTCTCTTTTCGTATCTGTTATATTTTGGGACATAGTGCAAGTAATCTCTTCTGATAATGATGGTTCTGTGCATCTTGGTGGAGACAACAGTTCCGGACAAAATCTTACCTCTGATGGAAACGGTTCCGACAAAAGGACATTTCTTGTCAATGTATGAGCCTTTGATGGCGGCGGATGGGGTCTTGAAACCTAATCCGACATCTTTATACCATCTCTTGGCTTTTCTGTTGGCCTTGGCCTTTGGGTTGGTGAAGATGTGTTGTTGCTATAATAGGAGAGAAGAAAAGTTAGTATTTATATTGACGTAGACGTTGACAAAAGACACGTGTAGCAAGGAGTGTTAGGAAGGGACGACATTGAGGCTAGGAAGATAGGCTATGATTGTATAATCTGGGTGTACTTCACTCGTGTGATATTCTCTGTCACGGGTTTGAAATATGGACTGGGCCATGGTCAGCATATATGTGACTCCTTATTCGTGGAATGTATAATCTAACATTAGCTCTCGTAATATTGGTATGGTCATGTAGATTGCTGGATAGTAAATGGATCTTCCTTCTGTATTGTATATCTCCTTCCTCCACTAACTTCCCACCTTGTGGTCTTTTAGTCTTGTACTCTATTTGGTGATAGAAAAGTACAAACCTTTTGGAAAGCTCTTTCAGATTGAACAGTCAATTCAGTTGCCATGGTGGTTGTTTGCTGAAGTCTTCAATTAGATTGGGTTTAGAAATGATTTTTTGGGTTTGATAAATTTTTCAGTATTGAGAGAAAATTTTGTTCTCGCGCAAATAGTGTGTCTCTCTGCTCTTACAACCACTGCTACCAATTAACAACAAAATTGTTAGCACAGTAGTAGTAGCAGTAGTAATGAAGAACGAGAAGGTCGTGTGTGTGAGCACAGAAAAACGAGAGTGGATTCGGTAGCACTCTAAAACACAACTGGTAGCAACAGGTAATACAAGCTCTAAACAGGGCTACAGCCCTAACAACCGTTATCTCAATTATATTTCCCAATTAGGTAAATAATGCGGCAATCTCCTGTTTTGTTTTGTTTTGTTTTGTTTTGTTTTGTTTGTGTTTACGCTCAATGTTAGCCAGCAGTTAATGATAATAAGCTATTAACTGCAATAGTATACACTATTTTGAATGCTATCCTTGTCACTTTTGTTTTGGTGTAAACTATCTACTACTTCAAAACAAGTAAGACCTTATACCTAGATAGCATACTTGGACAGATGTTGAGATTGGTTGAACCACGCAGAGTAATGTTCTTACCTTCGACGCATGTCTCGGGCGTTAATGCATAATGATTTTAACCGAATTAGGAATGGGAAGAGGAACGTCGTCATTCTCTATAGACATAAACCAGTTCTTGAGCTCCAGTGAAAAGGAGTTAACTACCTACTGTCTACTTCTCTTTCACGTAGATATATATATACATATATATATATTTATATATGTCTTAGTTGTTGCTGCAGTAATACGAATGCGGCGTAAATCTGTAACGTATATGTATAGATGTTGTACATAGGTTGTTGTAATTGTAACCAAAACCACGAAAACCGAAACAGCAAAAACAAAAACGAAAACAAAAGCACAGGAACATAAGCTCATATACATTTATTAGATAAACATCATCAACAAATCTCAAACTACACTGCAGTAAACTCATCAATATTTCAATGAATACATCTACCAAGAGTAGTAGCATTGCACCACCACCAGCTGGTGGCACTATTTCAACTACAACTTCTTCCAAGTACAATTATCTACCGAAATTTAACCTGCAGCAACAATCTAATAATCAGCAATACAACAATACAAACAACACAACACAACCAAATCAACCACCACCACCGCCACCACCACCACAGCAACAGCACACTCATCATCAAAGTAGAGTCTTTTCAAACGATGTAATTGACTCATTAGCAAATAGCCTTTCTTTCAATAGAACTGTCAGCTCGTCTTCTTCGATATTGAGTACGCCAAGCAACAATATTCGAAAGTATCAACGACAGCAGCAGCAGCAGCAACAACAACAACCACAAGACAGTAGTCACAACCAAACTCAGTTACACCCAAAGCGAGATATCCACCCTCGAAATGACAGCAAGCAGAAAGGAATTGAAAAGAATGGTCGAATATCAAGAAATGGGCAGTTGATCAAAAACAAGCTTTTGAATATACATCAGTCTCACAAACAGCTACATCCAAGCTCTAATACAACTGTGCAACAAAAGCAAGAAGAACAACAGCGTCAGCTGTTACGACCAAAGCAATCTCGCTCTCATGCACAACAAGAACCTCCACAAAAAGTTACTCATGATGCTGCTTATTATGCGAGAAAAGTAATATTTGGTAACGACACCTCAGATAGTGAAGAAGAAGAACAAGAAGAAGAAGAGGAGGACGATACAGGAGGAGAAGAAGAGAAATGTCTTCCAATACGTTCAATTCCTGGGTATACTAGAGGAGAATTACAATTGTTATTGAAACAGCCGACGCATGCACAATTGAGTGAAGATGAAGAAAAGAGATTATTACTCGACCACAAGAGGAAGCTAATGTCGAAACAAGAACGATATTTCATGAAGTCACATGCACTAGCTATTCGTCGTCAGGTGCAAGTATCACAAAAGAAGGATGTGTTGGAAAAGATTTTTGGTGATAGCAATATGCTCATTGGTGAGTACATGACGAACAATTCGGAGTATTCTGCTTTGGATCATTCTTTTAATATCCACAAAGTGTTGAATGAAGACAATGAGGAGATTACCAATTTGTTGGAGGAAGATACTTGGTTTCAAGCATCAATGGAGGAGTTTAGAACCTTGATACTGAGAAAGAAACAGCTGTATGTGTTGTGCGATGGAGACAATGGCGAGCAACCCCCAAGTTACAAGATAACAGTGCCTGACTTGATTAGCAAGTTTGAGTTTCATGAGGCTAGTGCGGATGCGGTGCGTGCGGACGATGATGATGATGATGATGATGATGTTGACATGGCGCTGGATCGAAATGAGGAATTGTATCAGTTAGGGTTGTCTCATTTGAAAGCAATTTGCAAGAAAGAAAGAGAAGAAAGTGGTGAACTACAGTATTAGTAGCACTGTAATGTATATATGTGTACATGTGAACTGTACTTGTAATCTACTGCTATACACTGTTGTCTCGGTTTAGGTCTAGATCAAATAAGCAATAAATAATTCTTCTATTGCCGCGGAGCCAAAAAATAAACAGAAAATTTCATTTGTAATCACCAACAATACACAGTTTTAGCAAAGAGAGCGGCTTTTATATATAAACTCCCTTCTCTTCCCTCCAAGGTTATGCTAAACAAACATATTCTCACATCATCAACTCAAAGATTATCTCAATTGAATAGACAATTATCAACATCAATCACCAAAATGGCTCCTACACCCACTTCTTCTTCTTCTCCATTGAAAAACTTTGACTATTTGGTCATTGGTGGTGGATCCGGAGGTGTTGCAAGCGCACGTAGAGCCGCCAAATATGGCGCCAAAGTCTTGCTTATCGAAGCCAAATTGAACAAATTGGGAGGCACATGTGTCAATGTCGGGTGCGTTCCCAAGAAGGTCATGTGGTATGCTGCAGACTTGGCCCACAAGAAGCATGATTTGTATCCTTACAAGTTGAGCAAGGAGCCACAACTGACCCAATGGGGTGATTTTGATTGGGCTGGGTTCAAGCTGAAGAGGGATGCTTATGTGCATCGATTGAATGGGATTTATGAGAACAATTTGAAACGGGAAAAGGTTGATTATGTGTTTGGATTTGCTCAGTTTGTTAATGAACTGGGTGATGTTGAAGTTACATTAACTGGAGATCAGAAATTGCCATTCTTAGAAGAAGCAGAGGCTGAGGCTGATGGGAAAGAGTACAAGAAGGGTGACAAATTGGTGTTTTCTGGTGACAAGATTCTTCTTGCTACTGGGGGTACACCCATTGTGCCACCAAAAGTGGAAGGGTCCGACTTGGGTATCACATCCGATGGGTTTTTCGCATTGGAGCACCAGCCCAAACGAGTGGCTATTGTTGGAGCAGGATATATTGGAGTTGAATTATCTGGAGTTTTCAATGCGTTGGGCACCCATGTGGATTTTGTGATTCGTGGTGATACTGTGTTGCGTTCATTTGATGATATTATTCAAAATACAATTACTGATTACTATACTGACAAATTGGGCATCAATATTATTAAACAGAGTGGTGGGGTAGTCAAAGTTGAAGGTGAAAAGAATGGTACCAAAAAGGTGACATTGGGCAATGGGTCAGTTTTGGAAGTTGATGAATTGGTTTGGACAGTTGGAAGGAAATCATTGGCTGGGTATGGGTTGGATAAAGTTGGTGTCAAGCTCGATTCAAATTTAAAAGTTGTCGTTGATAAGTATCAAGTTACCACTAACCCCAAGATCTTTTCACTTGGTGACTTGATCGATGAGGCTGAGTTGACACCCGTGGCAATTGCAGCTGGACGTAGATTGTCGAATCGTTTGTTCGGAGGAGATCAGTTTAAGGATGACCACTTGGATTACAACAATATTCCCTCCGCCATCTTTTCACATCCGGAAGCAGGCTCAATTGGACTCACTTCGAAACAAGCAATTGACAAATACGGAGAGTCCAATGTGAAGATCTACAATTCGAAATTCAATGCCATGTATTACGCCATGATGGATAGTGATAAGGACAAGGCTCCTACTGCGTATAGAATTGTTTGTGCTGGTCCTGAGGAAAAAGTTGTGGGATTGCACATTGTTGGTGACAATAGTGGAGAGATTTTGCAAGGGTTTGGCGTTGCTATCAAGATGGGTGCTACAAAGAAGGATTTTGATAATTGTGTTGCTATCCATCCAACATCAGCCGAAGAGTTGGTTACAATGACGTAGAGAGTTATGTTAATGGAGACTAGGTGAGGTTGTGCGATTGTCTCAACACCTCCTTTTTGTATTTGATCTTTTGTTATAGATATTATAAAACAGCATTACTTTGGTTTATTTGCAGTTAACAACAGCAATGAATAGCTGCCATGACCTGATCCTCTTCATTCGATCTTTCTATCTCTCCCTCTGGTCCACTTTCTGTCCCCCCCCTCCCCCCACTCAATACTTTCTTCGTTTCCTAGGTGGTCCTCGGATAGGAGGCTTGGGCTTATCACCAGGCTTCATGTAAAACATAGGCGCATGTCTCAAGATATCAGGCACCGACACGAACCTGATCATACTGCCTCTAACAAATACCTGGTCCATATGTTTTGAAGTGCCATTACGTCCATTTGTGATTGTTACGTCAAAGAGGGACGAGTTCATATTGTCTTCGTTTTCGAGAAGTTTTCCTCGGTAGGTGTCGCCGTTGGTGAGTTCAATGGTGATGATGTGGCCCTGGGCTTCGTTTAGTAGTCGTACTGGGATTCCTGCTGACATTGATTTGTAGTGGTGCGGTGGGTGTATAGGGTGGATGTGTGGTGGGTCGTTGATGAGAAGCTAATTTTTTGTTTGTTCTCTTCTTGTTGGTGACACTCATTTTTTTTTTTTTGTGCTGAGGTGTGTAATACTTTTTACATTTTGTTGTAACAGGGAATAGCCTTTAATACTAGTCGTGTTTTTTTTTTCTCAAAATTCCTTGGGTATACCAAAGCACTGGGTTAAAGAGACTGTGCTCGATTGATGATTCACTAAAAGATTGAACTTTGGAAGTAAACCTACAAAATCATCGTGGATTTTCATCTTTCTTGAGTAGGCTGCAAAAAAATTGAAACTGAAAATGATAAGCGCCAACGCTAAAGAATGCGGAACTGTGGTTCCCGCATACTTGGGGGCAAGCTAGACAGAGCTGAAGACAATTGTGAGATGTTGGAGTCATTTTGGGAAATACTTCTTGGAGGTCGAAGCAGAGACTATAATTCATGTCGTAGTGTTGAGCCACATTCACACAAGAAATGCTCGTTGATTGGATATGGTTGTTATGAAAATCAGCCTCACCATGAGGGGAATTTTGAACTGCGGAGTACTCTTATGTGGAATTTGGAAATTATTACTGATGCAGGTACCATTAGGACAAACGGAGTAGATATCGAAATAAAAAATAGTAATCTATCGAGGACTAAGCAAAACTGAAATCTCTACTCCACAAGCAAAAAAATGGTAACCGTGGGTAACCGCCAGGTTGACTCCTCCTTCCCCTCCGTCTCCTTCCCCTCCGTCTCCTTCCCTTCCGTCTTCTTCCCTTCCGTCTTCTTCCCCTCCTCCTCCTTCTTCTATCAGTTCTTATCTATTTACGAAATGTCAATGCAAACTACACCTTGTGTTTCTGTATCATAATATCTGTGGATATTTTTATCTTTGAAATTGATTCCCAGCTGAATTGAGGGAAATGCTGACAGAGCATAATTGGAGCTAATTTCACAGTCCATACCCCATACCCCATTCCTGTTGTTGCCGTGAAGGAAAGCTCTCGTGAGTTAAACGACACGTGTACATGTCGTAGTCGTATCACATAGAAGAAAGTGTTTGAAGATGAGGGGAGAGTATCCGTCCCGTTTCTTCACCGCCAAGAAAATTAAGAGGACAAAAAAGAATAATGAAATCAAAACCAAAACCAAAACCAGAACCAAAAACAAAAACAAAAACAAACTATAATTACCCCAGTCCGATTCGCCACGAACTCCGCTAGTGGCCGGCAATCGCTGTTGCCAGAGAACCGCCACGTTGTGTATTGCAATTGAGGTGTTGCTGCTTGAAAGCTTTGATGTATGAAGAGGGCTCCATTTGAGTAATGCTCTTGCAGATGATGGCCGAATGGACACAAGCCTTCAAATATGTAAGGGCGCCAATTGAGTCTCCACAAAAACCGCAAATCTCTTTGCAAAGATAGAAAAGCTCAAAAGACAACGGAAAAAAGAGTCATTTTGGGGTAAATTTTTAGAACTCAATCCATCGAAGGAAAAGAACATTTTGGTTGCAAATAGTATGAGCATTATATGGATGTGAAAGTTTCCCCACATTCATTTGCAAGGCAAGACACCGCAAAAGGATAAACATGATAAGTGAAACAGCAATGGGAAGGGGGGTGGAGGGGATGAAGAGGATAGCTGAGATAGCGCCATTCTATGGTCTTGGAAGAAGAATATATTTATATCCATACGTCGCTTCACAAATGTTCATCATTGTGATGGTGTTTTAGTTTCCCATTTGTTATACCTAATTATTCGATATGTCTTCGTCTCCCAAGAACCAAAAACCTGAGATTGAGCAGATATCTCATTACTCCTCTGACGATGATCTGATGTCAGTGGATGATGACATCTTTAACGAAAAGCCCACGTTGACCCTCCCTGTCATTAAAAACTATTTCGCTACACGACTCACGACTTTGTTTGACTTGCCAGTTTACCATCAAGACAAGAGATGGTATGAGCTCATGAATCCTATTCCCGCCTTGAGAGAAATGACATTGAGAGATTGGAATTACTATGGGTTGGGATGGTTTGGCTGGGTCTTGGACGCCATGGACTTTTTCTGCGTGTCTGTTGCTTTACCTGAAATCGCAGTCAGTTTGAATTCGACTGTGGCTGATATCACTTGGGGTGTCACTGTTGTTTTGATGCTTAGGGCTATTGGTGCTATATCTTTTGGAATAGCCTC